GCCCTCCTTTGGTCTTGCTACACTCATTTGACGGCCCTTGCTTGTACCGTAGACATTTACACATGGGGAAGGCATCCAAATACATGTATTATTTGTCTCCACCATGCAATATGCAATCATTGGAAGGATTTTTTTCAACCTCGAGGCCAAATGGGCAGATATTTGCTTGGCTAGGTATGTCTTTTCTGGCAACTCATTAGGGTCTGGGATCAGTTTCCTCACTACACCTAACAAGTCATTGAAGTCTTTATCGCTTAATTCGTGCGTAGATTTGAACTCAAATAGCATAATGTCAGCTTCCAGTTTGCTCACTAGACAGCCCCGATATAAGTGGTCTTCTGCCATCCTTTCACATTATCTCTAGCTTTTTCAACTGTCTAGCACTAAGGAATCTGCCTTGTACCTCATGTAGGAGCTAAGACAGGCCATCGTCAAGCTCTATGTCGTTAGCTAACGTATTCCTAAACACATCATTATCGGTAGCCACAGGTTGCGTGTTGACACCCATTTCCTCATTAGTAACAGCCTCGTGGGAGGCTACGTCATGCATGATCACATCATCAACATTTTCTTGTGGAGCATTCTCATCACCAACCTCCCCATGATTGCTCCATATCGTGTAGTCTCCCATGAACCCTTGGTAATCAAGTGACATTGTATAGCGTCCACATTAACCCATTTTCCTGAGATTATTGCAATCTCTGCACAGGCAAAATAAAGGTTGTCCATCCCCATCCTGGGCTATGGCGGCCGTGATGAAGGTGTGATGCCCATCAAGTACCGCAAGTCCGTAGATGCTAGACCGTACATCCACCCCCGATCCATCTCTGCACAGAAAAATATTTCTACTTCGTGCCACATAAACATGGGGAGAGTAATTATAGGGAAATAAAAATTGGAGCCTTCACATGAACAACAATTGTAGCTCAAAACAATCGGTTGCTAGGTGTCACATGGATGTGCTCATCAAAATTGAAATTGGTCGCCCTTTTGAAGAACAATTATTCTACACTTCATGCCACATAAAAATTGAGAGACAGACTAATTATAGGAAAATAAAAATTGTAGCCTTAACAATTGTAGCTCAAAACCATGGTTGCTAAGTGTCACATGGATGTGCTCATCAAAACTAAAATCGGTAGCCCCCTCTTGAAGAACATTTATTCTACTTCATGCCACATAAAAATGGAGAGACTAATTACAAAAAGATAAAAATTGAAGACTTAATCATGAACAGCAATTGTAGCTCCAAACAATGGTTTGGTAGGTGCCACATAGATTTGCTCATCAAAATAGAAATTGGTAGTAGCCCTATTGAAAAAACTCTACTCTACTCCATACAAGCACTAATGGAAGCATCACATACTAACAATCATCAAAACCACCATGTAATTTGCTAGGAATTAAAATGGGTTGATAAACACCAACATTTTGGAAGATGGACTCACCACACAATTTCAATGCCTTCCTCAACATCCAACTAAAAGTGCTCTCCAAAATGGAGAAATAACTAGAATGAGAATCAAACAATGTAGCCATTGAAACAATTGTGAACCTACAAATTCAAAGGAATAGATGCTTGTTACTAACCTTAAAGCAAGAAGATCATGCCCATGCTTGAAAACCCAAGACCTTCATTGAGCATTTGGGTGAAGAATGGCCGCAACAATTGAGGGAGAGGTGGGGAAAGGTGCCTCCTTGGCTGAGTGTGCTCGTGATGCATGGGAGGAAGGAGGGAGGAGGACGTTGGCTTTGTACTATGCACAACACCATTGCCGGTTCAAGCCAAAGGCCGACAGTGATAGCACAAAACCAATGCCGATTCAAGCCATGAACCAACAGTGATATATCACTGCCACTACCGGATTCAGGAGCTTTGCCGAGTGCCAGGGGCACTCGGTGAAGCCACAAAAACACTCGGAAAATGGTTTGCCGAGTGTTACACTCGGCAAACCACACTCGGTAAAATGGTTATCGGCAAACGCTAGTTTGCCGAGTGTTTTTTGTCGGACACTCGGCAAAGACTTTGCCGAGTGCCCAAAATACACTAGGCAAATATTTTTTTCGAAAAAAAAAAAAACCATCACAAACATTTTTTCGAAAAAAAAACCACCACCGGCCGCCGTCGGTCTCCTCGGCGGCGCCCTTGCCCTGCGTCTCGCCTCCGCTCCCCGGCTTCACGGCCGCCGTCGGTCTCCGCGGCGGCGCCCTTGCCCTGCATCTCGCCTCCGCTCCCCGGCTTCACGGCCGCCGTCGGTCTCCTCGGCGGCGCCCTTGCCCTGCGTCTCGCCTCCGCTCCCCGGCTTCACGGCCGCCGTCGGTCTCCTCGGCGGCGCCCTTGCCCTGCGTCTCGCCTCCGCTCCCCAGCTTCACGGCCACCGTCGGTCTCCTCGGCGGCGCCCTTGCCCTGTGTCTCGCCTCTACTCCCCGGCTTCATGGCCACCGTCGGTCTCCTCGGCGGCGCCCTTGCCCTACGTCTCACCTTCGCTCCCCGGCTTCACAGCATCGGTCTCCTCGGCGGCGCCCTTGCCCTACATCTCGCCTCTGCTCCCCGGCTTCACGGCCGCCGTCGGTCTCCTCGGCGGCGCCCTTGCCCTGCGTCTCACCTCCGCTCCCCGGCTTCACGATTGCCGCCATGAGCCACCACCAGCCACCACAACCACGCCACCACCCGCCATGCCAGGGAAGAGAGGGAGAGGAGGGGGCGGCCACGCCGGATCCACCGTCGGGGAAGAGAGGGAGAGGAGGGGGCGGCCGTGTCGGATCCGCCGCCGGGGAAGAGAGAGGAGGGGCGGCCACGAGGATCCGGCCGGCCGAGAAGAGAGAGGAAGGAGAGGAGGGGGAGGGGCGCCGGCGCTGGGAAGAGAGGGAGAGGAGGGGGCGGCCGCGCCGGGGCCGTATCCGGCCTCCCCGTGCGCCACCATCGCCGGATCCGCCATCGGGGAAGAGAGGGAGAGGAGGGGGCGGCCGTGCCGGATCCGCCGCCGGGGAAGAGAGAGGAAGGGCGGCCACGAGGGATCCGCCGCCAGGGAAGAGAGAGGAGGGAGAGGAGGGGGAAGGGCGCGGCACGCTGGGAAGAGAGGGAGAGGAGGGGGCGGCCACGCCGGGGCCGTATCCGGCCTCCCCGTGCGCCACCATCGCCGGATCCGCCCGCGCCGGGGCCAGAACTGGTAGAGGCGGTGGAGGAGGGAGGGAGGTGCGCCGCCGCACAGGGGGAGGCAGGGGGAGCGCCGCCATGCCGAGAGAGGAAGGGAGGAGGGTGGGCCGCATCGGCGAGGGAGGAGGGGAGGGCGGGCCGCGCCAGGCGAGGGAGAGGGAGGAGGGGAGGGCGGGGCCGAGAGGGAGGAGGGGGCGGCGCGTGCCCGTACGCAGAGAAGGGGAGGCGGTGTGCGGACACAGCGCGGGGAGAAGGGGAGGGGCCGTGCGGGGAGACCTAGGGCGCGTCCGCTGGGGGTTAAAAAAAGTTTTTTTTCGTTTGCCGAATGTCCCAGATCTGGGCACTCGGCTAAGTTTTTTGCCATTTTTTTCTTCTCCTTCTTTCCCAGAAAAAATATTTTTTTTTTCTTTGCCGAGTGTCTAGATTGGGCACTTGGCAAAGATTTTTTTTTTTTTTTCTTCTCTTTCTTTCCCAGAAAAAATATTTTTTCCTTTGCCGAGTGTCAAAAAAAACACTCGGCAGACCCCATCTTTGCCGAAGCGTTTTTATTTTGACACTCGGCAAACCTCCTCTTTACTGAGTGTTTTTTTTTTGCTGAGTGTTTTTATCATAGTACTCGGCAAAGAACTTGTTTGCCGAGTGCCCGAGAGAATACAATCGACAAACATAAAAACACTCGATAAATTTGACGTTTCCGGTAGTGTGCCAATTCTAGCCACCAACCAGAGAAACCGGTAGCATGGGCCGACAGTGAAGGCCGATTCTATAGTAGTGTAATTTGTTTTTTATAACCACTTTCGTGTTTCACGTGCGCTGATATTTAGTGATTACCGCGATCATGATTTAATTAAAATAGACATAAGAGTGCTCTTAGTATTTTCAACAAGGTATCATATCTGCTTTAGACCCAAACAAAGCTATTCTATCAAGCGTATGCCAGATCCATGCATTGCATGTGTATGTCATCATTTGATCCGTCGTGTCTGTCTTTTCCCTTTTTCTAAATATGTACCATAGGACAAACCTTCGGATCTCCTTAGCTTGATTGCTAGGTAACCTCTTAAAGGGGACAAAGTGCCCATCGTCCATTAGAAGAATAGGCTTTTCAGTTAGCAGGATAAATTGAAAGCCACAGAGCATCTTACTTAAAGCATATATAGGTTGGGTCATCTGAACGTTACGTGCATATATATGTACATCTTCATTTGATCGCGCTCTAATATATCTGTCTTTTTCGCCAGCCCCATACGCACTTTTTCTGTTCTTTTGATTGATAAATATAAAAGCGTCTGCATCCATGAGTGTATATATTGCGATTCAAGAAAGACTTACGTCGTACAAAGGTGCCCGGCCAACCAACAACTCGCACAGATCGAGCAGCCTAAAAAGGAAGAGAAATCACGAGAAGAGAGCTTGGAGAAGCAAAACTTCCTCGTCACAAACGAGGTCGTCAGAGCTAGCACATGACGCCAGGCAGCAAACCCAGATCATTATATTGCTAGGGGCCAGGAAGCACAACTGATGTTCTGAAAGAATAACCAGCTCATTGCTCGAGGCCGGGCTGACTTGAAATTGGGTCTTAAACAAGGACACATATGATAATAAATTATTAATATAACAAATAAAAATAAATCAATTTCAAAGAAGAAAAGGTGAACAAGCTCCATCGCTATAGGTATCTAGGCATAGGCCAGCTAGATGCCTAGCTAGATATATATAATTAAGAGCCGCCAGTTAGGTGCAGTGCAGCAGTGGTGGAGTCCGGCCACCGGCAGTACACCCAACAACTAGCTAGCTACTACCTGTACGTAGACACCAGACCACACAACAATTAACAGTAGACATGGCAGCAGTCTTGTGTGGCGAGCGCATGCCCAGAGGATTGTGCTGCCTCACCGTCACGCGCTGGATTGTAGCAACCGTGGTGGCTGCGCTCGCCGTTACCGTCCTCCTGCTGGTGCTCACCGTCGGCCTCAGGAAAGAGAGCATGATTGTCTCGGTCCACCACGGGCATTTCCAGGTAGCCAAGGATCTGTGGTCGATCGATGATTCCTTCAATCTCGAGCATTATCCAAATCGCCAAAAGATGCCTCCGGTGTCGGCTCCGGCTCCGATGTTCGATCGGAAATATACTCTGGCAGGGTATAAAGCAGCAAATCAGGTGGACATCTGGGTGAGCATGGACTTCAAAACCCCCGGCTGCAACGGCGTCCCCAACCGCCGCCGCGGCAAAGTGGTGGTCACTGCCGTCACAATCTTCGACATGCCCAATGCGCCCTCCTTCCTAGGGATGGTGCAGATCGCCACTCTCATCGAGTCCAATCCGAGAGAAGTATGCCCCTTCTACCGCGGCGTGGTGGACAGGTGGATCACTATCACCAACAACAACACGCTAGACTACATTGCCAAGACATATGGAGGGAGGAGCGAGTTCACAGCCATGTTGCAGGTAGACACCACGACGACAACCGACGATATCACAGCGAAGCCGAAGCACGACACCCACTATTGCTGGCCAGTGACTATTGGTCACAGCAGCCGAAGCACCACAGCGGAGCCGCTCACTTGCAAGCACAGCCGTGGCATCAACTACACCGCTGGTGCTGCAGTCCTGGGGCCACCACCACCACCACCTCCCAGCTCGCCGCCACCGCCGCAAATTTGTGAACTTTGTGGACAAAATTAAGCCACCAGACACATGCACCCTACCCTGCGTAGGTAATTTCCTTGCATTGTGACCCAGTGGATCGATTGATCCAGCTGCTTATTACCTACTACTCATGCATCTTTCAATTTGCATTGTGTGTTTAATTTACTCGATCGTCTTGTTTCTTGGGGGGATCAATGCAATCCCGGTAATTTACTCAAACGGCTTCAACTGCTTGGATGTAACACGGATGTGCTGTACAAATGTGTTGTACCATGGTATGTGTGAAGTGTTTTTTCTTTCCTGATGAAGACAAGATAGTCCTTTCACCTAACTTCTTTGTTTTCGTTGCAAACTCCTAAATGTCCACTATTACATAAATCTTTCTTAAAGACAGGCTTTCATTTCTAACATAGGCGGATGACATAAAAAATCACGGTAACTAGGGAGGGGAGCAATATAGCTCGCGAACAACCCCTATAAACCAGTTTTAGGGCCAGTTTCAGGATTTTTTTATATTTTTAATCTTTTTTATTAAATATTTTAATAATAACTGCATCCAAAAAATTTGCAGATCTAACCCTTTTGGTCGTGCCAATCTAGCTGGCGTGATCAAATAACGTTGTCGTGCCACATGCGTTGGCGTCGCAAGATCTGCCACGTTGAACACCGTTTCCTATGTGGAAAAACCTTGTCACTGTAAGCACTCTCTACAGCTTAATCAACACAGAGGATTGTTCTCACGATATGTGTGTTTGGATTAACTGCGAGGAAGAGTTTAACACAGAATTAAGTAGATTACAAGGCCAGGCAAGCGTCTGCTCCCTGCCGCAGCCGATCCGGACGCAGCCGGCCTATTCTATCCTCTTCTTCTTCGTGTTCTCTCCCCTTGCCTCTCCTCTGTTATTAACCCCTCTCCACGCCAAGTCAATCATGCCATCCAGTCGGAGCCAAGGCATCTGGGGTTGGGCTTCCTAGCTCTGGTGGGCTTCATCTCCTCGACCGGCACATGTCGAGAGCTCGCGGTCTCCTTGGTGGGTTTCATCTCCTTGGCCGGCCCAGGTAGAGAGCTCGCGGCCCCTTTGGCCCTTCCCGCCTCCAAGCTTCCTGCCAACTTGCCCTGTTCTCCCTCCTTAGGCTTGGTGGGATCCCTAACATCCCCTTCTCCTTAAGAACCGGCTTGACCCCAAGCCGGTGCCATGGGAAATTGATGCTTGAGTTCATCTTCCAGTTCCCACGTTGCCATAGAAGGTGGCCACGATGACCACTGAATGAGCACTTCAGAAACCAAACCGAGCACCATGAGCCTTGAGACAGCGCTACAGTACCTTTGACAGGGCATCTCAAAGAGTCATTAGTAGTGGAGTGAGGGAGGTCAGTGGAAACCTGAAAACTGGATGGAATCGCCTTCTTGAGTTGTGAGACATGAAACACTGGGTGGATAATGGTAGTAGCTAGCAATAGCAACTTGTATGACACATTCAGCAATGATCTGATAAGGTCCAAAATACCTGAATAACAGTTTATGGCTGGCTCTAGTTGCTACAGAAGTCTGCACATATGGTTGCAGTATTAGATATACTCAATCTCCCACTTCGAATGACCTTTCAGATCTGTTTTTGTCAGCCTGGTGCTTTTAGCGTTGCTGTGCTCTAAGCAACTGCTGCTGCAATAGTTGAACCATGGTATGCCTTTGTTTGAGCCATAATTGAAGGTCAAGTACAGCACAAGACTGGACTATGTCGATGCCCAGATCGTCTTGGTTTTTGGCCATAAAGAACTTCAAAGCGTGTAGTGTTTAGTGATGTGTGAAAACTGGTATTGTACCAGAATTCAGCGAAAGTGAGCCATTTCTTCCATTGAGTTGGACAGACATGGACAAAGCACCTAAGATAGCACTCCAAACATTGATTAACTCTCTCAGTTTGGTATCAGTTTCAGGGTGATAAGAGGTGCTCATCTTTAACTGTGTTCTAGTTAATTTGAACAATTCCTGCCACAGGGAACTAGTGAAGATCCTGTCTCTATCAGAGATCATTGCCTCTGGTAAGCCATGTAACTTGAAAACATTGTGCATAAAAGCAAGTGCTACATGGAATGAAGTAAAAGGGTGTTTCAAAGGGATAAAGTGGGCATATTTGGAAAACTTGTCTGATAGAGAATGATTTGGGGAATTCTGCTTGATTATTGTGATGAGTCAGTGTACATATATATATAGGCATGGTGGACAGGCCCACTTGCCATATTACATTCCAACACTCCCCCACGATGCTGGGCCTAGGAGCACAGAACATTAAGACTGGACCTTGTGTGAAGACGGACGGTAAAACCTTTCTATGAAGATCGGCGTCTTTGGGACGTAGTGGGAGCGTGCAAGCGAACTTCACCGAGGCGACTCGCTCCCCTGACGGAAGTGTAGATCAATCTCAATATCTTTGGGTTCGACGATCTTTGAACCGGGTTGGTGGAGAGATAAAGCAGCGACATTATCACAATAAAACCAGCATGTAGTGCGGACGGAGTGGAAGCGAAGCTCTAGATGGCTATCGTATGAGCCAAGCTTTGGCAACTCCATTCGTGAATCGCTCGATATTCCGCCTCTGCCTTTGGACCTGAGAGTCGGTGACGCTTGGACGACCAAGAGATGAGATTGTCGCCAAGAAACACCGCATAACCCGAGGTGGATTTACGTGTGTCTCGCCCAATCTGCATCGGTGTAGAGCGGTGAGATCATTTGGGGAGGTCCGGTGAAGGTGTAGCCCAAGATCCAAAGTACACGAAGATCTAGAAGAATACGGCAGAGCGCGCTCAGATGAGGTTCCGAGGGTCATGCATATACAAGCAGACCTCTTGAAGCTGCAATAAGCGATCGGGCCTGGTGAAAGTGACGTCCGCAGAGCCCGGCAAAGGCTGCGATCTTGGCTGGGATCGGTGAAACACCATCAGCGAGGAAGCTTTGAGTGAGTGTCCACAGGAGTGTGCTTGCTTTGCGATTACTCATGCCATTTCGCTCGAGAATCTCCAAGATATATCTTGGCCGAGAGAGAAAAACTGTCACCTCGGTGCTGACGCCGACACCCGAGAAAATGATGAAGAGGCCCCTCATAGAAAATTCCGGCGAAGTGCTGCGATAATCCGGTGGAGAAAACTCGGAGAGGATGCGAGTAAGCACAATATCATCAACATAAAGGAGAAGAAAAGCCAATCGGCACCTCTGCGGTAGAGATGAACAGTGGCGTGTCGGACTTGGCCTCAAAGCAAACCCAAGAGAGGTGATATGAGAGAAGCGACTATGCCGGTAGCGAGGAGCTTGTATAATTGGGCTTGGTCGAGTCAATGAACCCGATGAGGGTGAACGCAGATATCTTGGTTCGTGCCATGGAGGAAAGCATTCTTCACATCGAAGTGGTGAATAGGCCAAACAGAGCCAAAGTGAGAACCATCGATGGTGGGCGGCTTGACAAGCTGGACGGAATGTTTCATCATAATCAACTCCGGACGACTGTGTAGGCGGGCTTTATAGCGATCAAGAGAGCCATCGCCTTGAACTTATGACAAAAAACCCACTTGCGGTGGCGAGATTGGCCGGGTGGGGGCGAGGCACGAGTCCGGTGTCGTTGGCGAGTAAAGGCGTCGAACTAAATCCCGCATGGCGTGGCGCGGGGACGGGTCCGAGAGAGCGGTGCGAGACGGAGGTCGCCTTTGGAGACATGGCCTAACCGTCGTGGTGAGGTTGAGACGGTCCACGGGCTGCGAAACCCGTCCTTGCCATGAGTGCGCATGCTATGCGCATTGACAGACGAGGAGCAATCGCCTCTTGGTGGTTGTGTGGTCCGTCCCGACGCCGCTGGTAGCAACTGGGGACGGGATGTCCCGAGCGGGGCAGCGGCACCACCGGGAGAGGGAGAGGGCCGTCGTGACTAGAAGCGCGAGGCGCTCTGAGTCGCATACTGTTTACGCCGATGTCGGGGGCATCCGGTGGCCAAAGGCGCCACAGGCTGCCGCTTCGAAGCAGCAGCCTTACAGTGCGGCGTCCACGCCACTAGGGAGTCATGTACTGCAACCACAACTCTAGGCCCAATGGGCGAAGAGGAGTCATCGACATCGTCCAAAAAAACGCGAGTGTGTTGGGATCACAGGGTGAGTGGACATCTCGAGAGAAAGGAAACAACGTCTCGTCCGAACACGACATGGCGAGAGAGCGATGATCCGATTTGAATGGAGATCAAGGCATCGATATCCTTTATGATCGGATGAGTACCCAAGGAAAACACATAGTGAGGAACGAGGTGATAGTTTATGTGGAGCTATGGATGACAGGTTAGGATAGCACGCACAGCCAAACACACGAAGGTGGGTGCAGGATGGCTGTGTGCCATGAAGAGCGAAGAAGGGAGTCTAGCCATCCAGGGTTTTAGTGGGATGACGGTTCAGGAGATATGTGGTACGTGTGAAGAGAAAGTCACCCAATAAACAGGAGGGAACGGGAGCAGTAAGGGACCGCACAATATTGTTAATGGTGCGAAGGATGCGCTCAAAGACGTCCGATTCTGTTTGGGAGGTCTATGGGCACGACATCCGGAAGGTGACCCCATGAGTGAGGAAGAATGTGTGGGCCGAGGTGGTCAAACTTCATGGCCGTTGTTTGAACCGCCTTAATGGAGGAGTCAAGCTGTATGCGCATTTAAGAGAAAAAATTAGAAATGACACGAAAGTATCGGATTTAAGGCGCAATGGAAAAGTCCAGGTGTAATGAGTGCAGTCATCAAGAATAACTAAATAATATTTATAGCCCGATACACTGACAATTGGAGATGTCCAAAGATCACAATGAATTAAATCAAAAGGATGAGCAGCACGTGAATTTGACACACTAAACGGTAGGCGCACGTGGTGACCTAGCTGACAAGCATGACAAATGTGATCAACTGACTGCTTATTACATGAAATTGCATTGGAACTAATAAGTTTGGATAAAGCCGCGTGACCAAGATGACCAAGGCGGCGGTGCCAAAGCGAAGTGGGCGACGCTGCGGTGG